AAGTCTCAAACAAATATATTTGTTTTAAAATAGAAACTATTTGAAAATAAACATATTTATTTTCAAATAAGAACTATAAACATTAAAATGATGGAGCATTAATTCATATTTTCATACCATACAAATAAAATAAACAATTAATTTCAATTCAATTCAAAACAAATATTATGTTTTATCTAAAAAAATGGTTGATTTGACAATTATAAATAAAAAATTATTAGATGAATTAAATTTTTCGTCACTATATTTAACAAAATTATTAAAAGAAAATTATGATTGCAAAAATAAAAAAAATAGTTGTTTGACCGCGAAACAATGAGATCTTTGAAAAAAGTCAATACCAATAACGCATTATGATATCTTTTTAGGACGCATACTGAAATAAAATAGGAGAAATAGTTAAAATTGACCTACAATTTGATTTTAAATGCAAAAGTAAACCCCCTATCTCATGTTTGGCAAAAATAATCCGAATGGATAGTGAAATTACAATTACATCCTTTATGACCAAAGAAAAAAAATGGAGGCCACAATTACTATTCATTTGAAGTCTACTTTGCTTTGTACTAAATATGATCTTTGACTTTCTTTATAATTACCCTGCCCAAAACTCAGACTTGTGTTAAAATTGTAAATGGAATACCGCAGTTTCAAGATGCTTGTACGTGTTCAAGATCAGTCATATACTTTCTTATATTTCTTACACTAGAGACGAAAATGATGATATTCAATTTAGAGACTATGTTTCTTCGGGGTTTTATACATTTATATTGTTCATATAGTTTTACAAATGTATAATACTTTGAGAAAAAAAAGAATTGACGTTCTTTAGCTAAAGATGAGTTAAGCTATTAAGAAGACTTCTTCGAAGTCTAAACAAATGAGTTAAAGGCTAATTGAACAGCAAAAAAGTTGATTATGTGTCTAACTTCTTTAGCCTTTTCAACAATTTCACCATGTGTACAACCATCATTCAAGAATTATAAATGAATTATTAGTGAAATCGTAAATGTAGATTACAAAAGAAGTCAATACATATGAGCTAGATACCAATCAAACAAGAAAATTA